GCCTCTGCCTCCCAAGTGCTGGGATTAAAGGTGTGTGCCACCACATCTGGCATATTTTATTATTTTTGTATGTGTGTATTGCCTGCATGTGTGTGTAAGTGCACTCATATTGTGAAATGCCCAAGGAGGTCAGAAGAGGGTGTTAGATCCCCTGGAACTGGAGTTACAGATGGTTGTTAGTTGCCATGTGGGTGCTGGGAATTGAAGCTGGGTCCTCTGCAAGAACAGCCAGGGCTCTTAACCACTGAGTCATCTCTCTAGCCCCCCAACAGGAGTTTCTTTTTGTTTTTTGTTTTTGTTTTTGGTTTTTTTTTTGGTCTTTTTGAGACAGGGTCTCCCTGTAGCCCAAGCTGTCCTGGAACTCACTATGTAGACCAGGCTGGCCTTGAACTCACAGAGATCTGCCTGCCTCTCCTCCTGAGTGCTGGGATTAAAGGTGTGCGCCATCACAGGAGTTTTTTTAAATAAGCAATGTATATGTTTACCTAGTTTAGATATATATTAGTGACTTCATTGGGAAGATTCTGTTATTTAAAGTATTTTAAAAGAAAGGCAGGAATGTAGCTCAGTTGATAGATTGCTTACCTAGCACGCATAAAGCCCTGAATTTGATCCCCAGCACTGCATAGACTGGGTGTATTGATGTATACTTGTAATCCCAGCTCTCAGGAGGTGCAGTCTGGAGGATCAGAATTTCAAAGTCATCCTCAGTTGCATAGTGAGTTTCAGGCCAGCTTGGGATACATGATGTTTGGGGGGAAACTAGGGTTCATTCTTTGGGTTCTTAGTCTTATTAATAAAAAAAATAAAAATTAATGAACTCAGAAGGAAGCTCAAGGACCATTTTTTAGTGTTTGAAAGGAAAACAACAGGGCAGGCAAACTGTAGATCTCAGGAGTAGGGAGATGGAGAAGAGGAAGAAAGTCATGTCTTTAAAAAAAATGTTTTATTTTTGTTTTATTTTATGTGTATGAGTGTACTGTTTGCATGCATGTAAGTGCACCCATGTTGTGCAATGCCCAAAGAGGTCAGAAGAGGGCTCTGGGTCCCCTGGAACTGGAGTTACAGGTTGTTAGCTACCATGTAGGTGCTGGGAATTGAACCAGGGTCCTATAAGAGCAACCAGTGCTCTTAATCACTGAGCCATCTCTCCAGCCCAGGAAAGTCATGCCTTTTGAGTTATGGGCCAAGAAAGCTGGCATGTTCAGCCATGAGTGTCAGCAGAAGGCAGAATGACCAAAGCGGAGGGGGCAAGGGGCTTCAGAGAAAGAATGAGAAAGCCAAAAGTGTCAGGAAAGCGTGCTTAGGCTTTTGTCCAGTAGAAAGAAACAAGAAAAGAAAAAGGAAAAGTTACATTTCTCTGAGTTAGAACTCAGAAAAGCAGAAAGGCTACACAGTACTGCCTGGAGGGAAGCTCTGTAAACAGCTGCATGAGGGAGGGGCTTCTGGAAAGGATAAATTCATTATCTTATTAAGGGGCTAATGATTCCTCTCATTTTAGCATTGCCTTCAAGTATATCAGATTTCCTGTAGGTCTCCTGGCTAGATGACTGATGGGCCCAACCAGATTAACTTTTTTTTTTTAATTAAAAATGTTTTAAAGATTTTTAAAAATAAAATATCTTTTATTCTTTTATTTAATCTTTAACAATTTCATACATGACAACATTGTATCTTGATCATATCCACCCGGAACCCCCCCCCCACTCCTCCAGGCACCCTAACATGTCCCCCTTCCCTTTTCATGTCCTCTCTCTCTTTCTTTTTAGAGACAAGGTCTCTTTCTGTAAGCCCTGGCTGGTCTGGAATCCACAGAGATCCCCTGCCCCTGCCTCCTGAGTGCTGGAATTAAAGGCACATGCCACCACACCTGCCTTTTTTTTTTTTTAAATAACTCACTGAGTGCCATTAGTGTTGTC